ATTTTAATAATAAAGAATTCTGAATTTAATAATAAAAATCATTAAATAATGATATTTAATAAAATAAGTTGATTTAACAAATTTACATCATCAAACAATAATATTTAATGATCTATATTATTAAATGATGATATTTAACAAATTTATATCATTAAACAATGATATTTAATGATCTACATTATCAAACAATGATATTTAATGATCTATATCATTAAATAATGATATTTAACAAATTTACATCATTAAATAATAATATTTAATGATCTATATCATTAAACAATAATCTAGTCTATTAAATAATAATATTTAACAAATTTATACCATTAAACAATGATATTTAATAATCTACATCATTAAACAATGATATTTAATAATCTAATCCATTAAACAATAATATTTAATGATATACATCATAAAATAATGATATTTAACAATATATATTGTAAAACAATGATATTTAATGATATACATCATAAAACAATGATATTTAATGATATACTTTGTTAAACAATGATATTTAATGATATACTTTATTAAATAATATACATTGATGACTCTGATATATATTAATATATATCAAATATCTGTTTCAATATGTATCAATGACTCTGATATATATCGATATATAACTAATGATAAAAATCAATACAAATCACCCCAAAAAATTTCCTGATGAAGCTAAGAATGACAATTAGCATTTGCCTAAACAAATAAGGAATTTTAAACCTTGCATATGTTTCATGTTTAACTGAATGGATACATTCTAATAATCATAAAATTTTTTTGTTAATTAAAAGAAATATTGTTATCTATACTATATCATGAAACAGCCTTTCCTAATTTTCTTTCACATGTTTTTAATGTACTAACCCCTTGAGGTAAAACTTTGTAGATGATTCTTGTTTGGGCACGTCTGGTGAATCACTTTTTATGACAAGAATTTGTGAATCGAAGAATAAATTCAGCAAAAATAGGCAAAATGAATGCCAATTTCGAAGGCGTTTCACTTTACAGGGAGACATTAGTTTTTCATGATCTTTGCACTGCTCTGTTCGTAGAATTTTGTTTCAGGGGACTTTGTGCGTTTTGGCTAAGACCTTGGACAAAAAATTCAATTGTATGATTAATCGATTTTTTAAATCGATCGACATAATATGCTTAATTTTTACGTGTGACGGTTATTCTATCCAGGATATCGACGAATGAAAACCCGGATAATGGAGTTAATGTGTTAGCGTGGTTTAATCTGGTGTATCTGCAGGCATTGATAGCTTGCTCAGCTTTGTAAACAAAAAAATATTGAGCAAAATCCATTGAATCAAAATTTATTTGAATGGATGTGAATATTGCTGGGAATGTGATAACGAAATCACTAAAAGAACAACACATCAAATCCGTGAAAATACGATAACGATAATATAAAAAAAACTAAAGAATAATACAATGTAAATTGCGACAATTCTAATAAAATGCTTTTTACATAAAAAAATCTATTTTTATTTATTCAATCAAATTCTAAAAACAAACCTTATTTATTTTTGCACCAATTCATACAGCAGGTCAAAGAATGAATGAAAAAATAAAAGTTAAAACTTTCGGGCAAGTGGCCTGTTCAACCGTCAGTTTATCATTACCGTTTACCAAAAAGAATGGAAAAGAAATTTGGTTAATACATGTACATGTATATGCACACGCATCATACCAAAAGAATAGAAACAGCCCGGCAAAATATTAAGTCTTCAATTATTAATTGTAAGAAATTTTTAGTTTGTTTTGTAGAAATAGCATATTGGTCATTATCAAAGCTAGAAAATTCGAGACACTTGTATTAAAGATCTCAATCGCTCTTTTAGAATTTGCGTTTGACATGATGCTAATTTTGCCGTTTGACTTTTGTATTCGTACGAAGTACGTTCAAAATTTAATTTTAATACAATGAGCAAAAAGGTTAATTATAGAAGCATCTTTAACAAATGTTAGGATATTTACATTGTGAATTTATGGCACAGAACTTTCTCGTATGATTTGAACTTTCTAATAATACCAGCAACTTCTACAAATTAAGAGGTGTCCGATATCGGGTTCCCGTTTTTAATTCATTTACTTCACAATGTGATCGATCTATTTATTCTCGTTACTCAAGCTATCCTTTTTTATGAATTTACGATTCCCTTGCACTTTTCAATGAATAATCATCTTTGGGTTAATTAGAAGACAAGAATTAAAAAAAAACAGCGACATCAAAGCATATAAAAAGGACGCTTGTCTCTTCTGAATTTCCAGTAAGTTGTTACTAATCAGCTTAATAATAACGCTTCCATTCATCTCTACACGAACTTAATTGTGATAATGTCGAGATTTCAAACCCTCTTCTTAGTTATTGCCGTCTTGTTCTTTGCTCTCGTTTGGACTTTGCCAGTTCCAGGACCTGAAATTAATCCACCTACTCCCGGCGGTTTAATTCAAGTGACAGCACCAAGCGCGGGAACTTATAAATTTGGATCATGGCAAGGTGTTAGCTGGAATGCGAACGTCGATATCCCAGACAAATGGAGTAAGTAGGATATATGTATGTTTTCGATTAATATTTCTCTTGACTAATCTTTGTTTCGATCAAACGAAAAGATCGTACAGTCAATGTTTATATTGCCAAAAAGTGTGAGGATAAAAATAAGCCAGATCAACTTACTTACAAATATCTTGGCGAATTCGTGAGTACATTTTTACATATAATATTTTGTACAAATACTTAATATTGATTCTACCTCTTCTTTATAACACTATAGAATTACGGAAATACCTATGCTGGTTTCCAAGCCGAGCTCAAGCCAGGCACTTATTTCGGCTTTGTAGTAGTCTGCGATGATCCTTTTATTTGGGGTACTGGACCAGAGTTTTCGATTGTGTATTAAATAGTTTTTACATGTATAAAATAGTTTGTATAATAATTTGTAAATCTTGGGTGGCACATGTATAATAAATTATTACATGTAATTCGAACTTGCTTTAAATTTGAAAAGCAAAATAATCCCATCTCTACCAATTGAGAATATAATTTTTTTACCAAAATGGGGAAGTTTTAACTACGTGTACTCGTATTACATGTACATGCACAATGACTATTAGTTAAAAAAATCCAACAATATCGAGCGTTTTTAGTAAATCTATTATCGCTATATCGAGTGGATTTTATTAACGTTAAGGGAGGATCTATTATATAGCGATAGTCATCGTGTATCGTTACAGCTAGCAAGCAAACAATTGCCCACCCCCTAAAATAATAAACGTTAACTAATTAAAAATACTGCCCATTTTTGGCAAGTTAGTCCTTTAAGGTTCAGATGTTGTTAATCTATAAATCAAAGCAGTTAAAAATTCTATTAACCTATAGGCATGTAGCTTTGAAATAAAAAAATTTAGTGCAAGCTAATTTAAAAAATTTCAAAAGACAAGTCTTCATGATATTCACTTAATACATGAATTATATATCTTCATAACGATAAATACATTAAATAAGACTTCTAAAGGCTCGTTATCAATAGAGATATACTCCAAAAGCAACAGCAACACAAATTAATGATTCCTAAAAAAATAAGAATAAAAAATTTAACTAAACGTTCGATAACACAAAACAAAAGGCGACCCAATACAATATCCTACTCACATTTGTAAATACTTCCTGCGCGATATTATCAGTATCGCTATCCCAATAGCATTGACATTGCATCCTAAAATAGATTCATTTGATTATAAACTGAGAATCGAAACTTGCGAAAAAAATGCAATCCTAAATTTAAAAACGAAATATAAACCTGGCACCCTCTCCTTTATTTTCCATAATCGTCACATTCACTACGTACTTATACCTATTAAGATCCAATTCTGGGTTGTGACGAAAAACATAGATTAATGATCAAATCGCTTTTAACAAGATTCACTTTAAAATATTCACCCAACAACTTTTTCTTTATCTCTTCAGCAATTTCATGAGCCCAACCAGGCGCTTGGTCTTTATCATAGATCGCATCCTTTAATCGATCGCTCAGAATTTTGTTGATAATGTCAGTCGCTACTCGTTGATTAAATCTTTTTGGAATTATTATTTATTTGATCAGCTTACAACAGACACAAATATCAAAAGATACGACTTCAAAAATTCAAACTTACTTTTTAGCAAATGACGGACGAATAGCAAACCCGCCGCCAATATCTTCAGAGGGACGACGACTGTCAAAATCAAGTGATGATATCGACATATTTATTTTAAGTGTTGATTTTTTATCAAAAAGCAGTAGTAAAAATTAAATGTAAAAAATTCATGTGTAGTAAATAAAGTTTGAGCGTGCGTACATGTTCATGGATATGTATTTTGGTTTATCGATATCGATATGTATGTTGTGACACGACACACACACACACATATATATATAACAATCATTTTAAATAAAGACACGTGAAAGTTTATTATACTTGTATACTGTACATGTTTATGATGCTATTATTCTATCGAAGGTTGACTATCTTTTTTCTTATTGTCATCATCAGTAAGATTAACTTCTGTGTAATTAGAAGTATCATTGGCATTAGTGAATGTAAAATTTCTGATATTCGTGTATAATCTCATTTCTTGCTCCACGTCAAAACTATGATTATTTTCAGAAATGTCACTAACGTTCCCACCATGGCAACATTTTTTAGCGTTCGTCCATATTAAAACACCAGCACGAAGGAGAATTAGTAACGTCATGAATCCAATCGTAAGACTTTGCAGCGTGATTAACGCGATTGTTAGTTGAATACGTGAAACAGACGAGACCATCTTTTCCGTGCCAATGAACGGAACCAACATGATAATAGTGATAACGCGGATGATCGCAAGACCAATGTTCATTCGATTCGTGGATTTACGATCGAAAGGTTGATAGCGTACTATAAGAAGTATATACGCGCATTCAAGAATGCCTAGTACTGCTAGCTGACAGATACCATTACGAAGAAGAGCAACTGCTAAGGGACGGAGAAACATAATTGCCACATGTGGGATAAAAAATAAAACGCGATTTTCGAGATAATTATGATATAATCTCGAATAGACTATTCGATATTCGTTAGTTTCCCATAGTTTAATCGAATTGGAGTTATAGGCATGAATGATCTTGTAGCCGCAGAACATTATTGCTCCTATTGAAAAGATACAAATTACCAATGATGGTAGCAGTCGTAATGTCCAACAGTCATTTTGAATGGTTAATTGATAGATGGCAAGTAACGTTATTGGCTGATACAACAATAATACCTAAAAGAATAATACCAGTGATCGTAAGCAATGGCATTAAAATAAAACCAATTTAATATCGGCTTACCAATCGTAATATCGCGGCTATTTGAATCAAAATAAATTTCATGAATTATCATTAAAAGATGAAAAAAAACACGAATCAATTCAAAACTTACCTAGAACATATAAATGAAAACTCTGCCCAATATCCCATTTTTTATAAAATTTCCCGATTAAACCCATAAATCCAACTAAGAAAATAACCAGTGCAATCGCAATTAAAAAGATCATTAACACGGTAAAGAAAAGATCGTAAGTTTGAATATGTAATACGCTAGCATATACTGAAATTCCATCAACGTGGGAGGAAATATATGGAGCACTACTGATATTATTAGACGCGAATAGTTTTTCTGGTGGTCTCATGTCCGAATCCAATGCCAAAGATTTTTCAAAAGTACAGTTACTACTTCCATCATTTGCCGCGGGATTATGTGCAAAATCTAAACAATCACTTAAGAAGATTGGACATATTCGGTTTCTTAGCCGAGTAAAGGAAGATTGTGTGAAAATTCCAAATAACCATCTAAAATTAGAAGCGAACTGCCGATATCCGATTGGTAGAGTTGGAAGTGCAAGTAATCCTGTGATGACAATCCATTGTGCTATACTGAAAAAATCTTCAAGTGAAGGCGGTTGTGTTGTTGCTTTCCAAAAATTATCATCGCTCGGTCTATTGAACTTTAATAGATTTTGTGATGTGGCGACTGAAGAAGGCGTATTGGGTTGATAATCACTCCAGAAAGCCAAAGGATTCTGGGGATCATTATATTCTTCTTTGGAGAAATGTTTATCGGGATTCTTTGGATCACCTTGTTTTTCTTTCTTGTTTCTAGCTTGCCATAACTTTGAATTCCACGTCATGATAATTAATAATGCACTTAAGATTGCAATTCCTGCTGAAATTCCGGACACGATATTAGATTTTACAAGGTCCGGATTACCAACTGATGCATATGCACAACCCATCTTGGATTGATTTGATGCAGTTAACGTGAGAATGGCAAAAGATCCTGTCCCCGGTACATCGAAAATTATATCTATTGCGTAGGAGTAGAGTAGCATTTAGTATGGTTAATCAGGTTTGAATTTCAAAAAATATACGGACCTGGCAATGCGCTTATAAATTGTGTGTCAACGATACTTGCTATTGAAAAGTTAAGATCCGTGATTTCACCAAACACACAAGTACTATTGTTGAAGAAAGAACATATCGGTCGATCCACGAAAAATATATGCGATGGATCGAAATACACAAATAATTTTGCTTCGTTAACGAAAAAAAATTCAATTAATGATTCGTTTGGATTAATCAAATATAAGTCACGTCACGCTCTTACCATGTCTATCGCTTAAGTCCAAAGAACTCGTTCCGGTGGCATTGAATGCAATTTTATTATGTTTTTTCGAATACCACACGTTGAATGAATTAAATGTTTCCAGTTGTCCGCATTTCCCATATCCTGATTTAACAATTTCTTTAAAATCATTCTGTTGCAGGCTATCGTATGATGAAGATGAAGATGAAGATGATATTGTTGGTGATGATGGCACTGTTGAGGTTGCATCTGAATCGGTGTTCTGGTTTGTTGCTGTGATGAAGGTAATGTAAATGATTGTAAATCAAAAGATTTGAACTTTTAAGTGCGTGAAAATAAGAGAAGAGAATCATACTTGAAGAAGATAAAACAGTGCTGCTGCCTGTTTGATTGTTTGTCGTCTGTGAAGTGGGAGATGTTGAAATCAAACTTGTCGTCGTTGGAATCAAACTTGTCGTTGTTTTAATCAAACTTGTCGTTGTTGGAATTAAACTTGTCGTTGTTGGGATTATACTTGTCGTTGTTGGGACTAAATTTGTCGTTGTTATTGGCGTAGGTAACGAGATAGAACTTGATGATATTGGCGGAGGTGGAACATTTATCGCGGTCGAAGATGTCGCAACAGGTGTCAAAAGAGATGGACTTTGTGTTGATGTGATGACTGGTGAAATCTTTAATAATGAAATAGATTAATTATTGATGTATGTAATTATTGATGTATGCTTCTGAAATATTTACAAAATTAAGATTATACCGGACTTGTACTTGTTCCTTTTGATAAGGTAGATGTGATTCAAGTTAGAGCGGTTAGAAAAATTCACCCAGATTATATATATTTTTACCTATATTCCCTGGCGGCGAAGGCTGTGACGGCGGCGAAGGCTGTGGCAGTTGTGAAAAAGTTGCATTTGAGAACAAAAACAATAGCAGGACAAGTAACAAAGTTTTTCGTGTCATTATAATTCGAGAATAAGGTCTATATAGATCACTCACCGTATTTTATATTTTTATTCATATTCCCACAAACACACTATTATTATCCCTTATCTTTCATTGTCTCCAAATTCATTAAAATGAAAAACGACTTATTGGGAATCCATTGTGGGTTACAATAATAGAATCAGTTTTTTCAGGAAAAAAACTTGTTCTATCGGCATATTTATGTTAGATATAGTATCTTTAGTTTTAGTCTCTCGTCATTGAGCCGTAAGATTCTTTTTTAACAATGAGGAAAACCTTATTTATCGATCTGTGTTGCTGCAATGCAATGCACCTACCCATATCGTCTACATGTTCCACGTGTCTCCAATTTCGCCAACAAAAAAGCTCATCTGAATGCTAAAAATGATACACGCAAGTTACATGATTTATGGAAAATTACAAGCATAAAATGGAGGTTATGAATAGTGATAGTATTTTCATGTGAAATTGGGAAAGTATGTAATAGAGTTAGATGAATTTTCTTTGCTGATCGGTCTGTCAAAATTTGCGTATTCTTATTGGTTTTCTGGGTGGGGTGAAATTTTGGATCATACTCGCATGACAAATATTCCATATTTAATGTAAACAAGCTTTTAATTTATCTTTGATAATTATCCCACGCTTGTATAGCTCAAATTATTACTATTATTAAGCCAAAAAGAATTATGACGTGCATCATTCGGTAATTTTCATTTGTGAGGCGTAAAATTGCATCATCCCTTGAGAATTTTTTATATAAAAAGAGCCAGTTCTTGTATTTATTTCTTCTCGATAAATCTTCTCTCAAGCTTTTAAGAATTGCTCTTCAAAACAACAAAGCATAACCACCACCAATTAAAAAAACATGTCTGTCTTTGGCTCAGTTTATGACCCATTCTTTGACTACGACCCACTTTTTGATCTTGACTTGGGTTGGCCGTGGACTGGCGGTTACGTTAGTGATCGCGGTTCTACCAGTGGTCTTCGCGGTACTCGAGGCGTCGGTGCTCAAGGTGGCGATGTTGCCCGTGATGAACGTGGTGGTCAAAGAGACGTGGATCGAGCTGTTGATTACGGTGGTGAAACAGACTCATTTGTTCGTCGTATTCCTATTCAAGATCGTGTTCCACGCCATGCCAGTTCCAGAGTCATGACCGAAAGGGAAGGTGATGTAGTCTGGAGACCCGCTACTGATGTTCTTGCAAACGATAATGAATTCATTATTCATGTGGATCTTCCTGTGCGTATTCATCTTTATTTTTACTTAAAATTCTTTGACGTGAAGCTAGAAGCATTATGAATATCTCTCATTTATTTATAGGGTGTCCCAAAATCAGACATCCAGATTGATTTACGTGATCGTGAGCTCGTGATCCAAGGTGAATCTAAACAACATGAAGCCTATAAGGCTGCCAGTTCTCGCGTTCGCGAACGAAGCATTGGCAAATTCCGCAAACACGTGTATTTGCCGCGTAACATGACTTTGGACAAAGATCATATTCAGGCCGAATTCAATAACGGATTATTGGAAATCAAGGTAAAATCACTTCGTTTGAATGTAATAAATACATGGATTGGGAAATTATTGAACGATTTCTTTTCTGGTGATAGATTCCTCGTACTGGCGAGAAACAAACTACCATCAGCATCCAATAATCCTAAGAAAAAATAATCGCTCTTGCCCAATATCTTTTCAACTATATCTTCTATATAATGTGGTTTAATGATATTTGTTATGTTATAAAATTGTGAATTCGTGTTATACGTATAATACCAATATAAAACTGGATTAATACATGCAATGATGCAAAAAATATGAAATATACATATATACATGTACATACAATTATGAAAGAAACGCGAGAGATTGGTTTTCATAAAGCTTTAAGGACAAACTAATATACAAAAAATAAAATATATTTTACATAATGTATCAATCTATAATCTGAATGTCAACTTGCGGATTTTTTTGATTTTCATTTATGTAATCATTGCTTTGCGATGACGAAGTTTTGGTCGAGAGACTCGAATGTTGATTACTGCACTTACAAGTACTGTTGCTAAAACGTAGTTGGTTCTCGTCTTTGTTCGTTTCTTGTTTACGAGTAGGTGTTTTTCGTCCCTCGATTGCTCTCACAATCTCTGCGTCAGTCGTAATAATAAACGACAAGGCCAAGAAAATAAAAGTGAATATATACGTCATGGTAAGTTGGTCAATCTGAGTATAACCAATTGTCGCTTGAACCGTCGACATGACATGATAAAAGATTGCGAGAAACAGGCGAATAAAATTCCAGTACTTGACTGAGGTGAATAATGTTCGTTTGAATGGTTTCCGCATGTTTTGTGTCACGTGTTGTGTATTCTTATTCGCTTTGTCAAGGATTTGGCATAGTCGTATGGTGACGAAAATATCAATGGCGAAATCAAATGCAACGAATATCCATTGGAAAATTACTGTTATGTGTGGTGTTGTTCCGTAACAGATGTAGCTTGCGATTGCAGGAATATACGTCGAATCATATCTGATGATAAAAGTTCGTGCGAGCTAGGTAATTTTATGTATTTAAAGGGAAATTAATCTCGGGGGCGGGGGTAAAGAAAAATACGCCAAACCATAAAAATACCATTAGAACAGCGCTTGGCATCCAAAGGGTCAACCCAATAAACAAGTCCTTTTCTTCACCTCCAATCACTCTCACTCGCCACAATAAAAAAGCGCTCAAGGTTGACCTAAAAGTGGAATTAACAAAATTGGTCATATATCCTTCCATCAAACAAGTTGTCTCGACGGTTGCTGGTGACAGTGAATTGATGATTGAGAGTAATAATTTTCCAAGACCAGAAAGGTTAAACAAGAGTTTTAGCAAATTTGAGAGATTTGCTTGTCGAGCCAGATATACGAGAGAGAGGCATGAATTATTGAAGAAACACTGGAAAGTGAAAAAAATTGATGAGAATTGTGTCAGTTATTTTAGCTTGTGAATGTTGGCGTTATGTGTTATCATTTTTTATTACCATAGTCGTTATGCCCCAGAGATAATATTGGATGAAAAACTTTGATAAGTCCACCATTCTTTTTCAAGGAGAAATAAATAATAATGATAATAATAATAATATTCGTAAGAACAATGATGCTCGATATTCAACGTAACGAACTGGTGGTGGTGCCGAGAGAAGTCCTAACATCACTTAAATATACAATTTCCTTTCTTCATTTGTGTCTGTGTGAGAACAAAAGTAACCTGTTAAGGGGACGTTGCTTTTCACTGTTCACCTAGTTCCTCAAATTTTAATTACACGTACATATGCACAACAACTCACTTAAACAACAACGCATTCATATGCACAGCATAATCTTAAACAACGGCTTTTTAATGTGTGATTGGTAAGACTAATAATAAATTTGATGATTAATGCGTAAACCATCTGTTTTTTTGCATATCAATTATACGTGTAATGATTCCGAAATTTTTTTTCTTCTTTGAGTGTAATATTATCTTTGAATAATGGCATTTTTGCGTTACCACAAAATACACATTGTTAATAAATGTGTACAATGGGAAGATATAATAGGAAGATCAAAAGTGGCATTAGAATACGCCGCCTCATGAGTTTTATAAAAAGAAATTGAGTTTATGGATTGATACGGTAGGTTATATGCTCAATAGGCAATTCATTTCCAAGTAATTCTGTAAAACCATGAGATCGAATGATCATCATCCATATACGGCGAAAAATGAAGGTTTCATTGGAGGAAAACCGGTAAACTTCAAGAATGTGATCCAAAGATCGGGTCTAGATATGGCTGAATGAAGATACCTTCCCTTTTTTTTCTCGTTCATGAGATTTATTTGTTTTTTTGATGAGAAAAGCTGCTTAAAGTAACTGGAATGGAACAAGTTTAAAGCAGACTTTTAAGTTTTCCAAGTCTATGGTTGACAAAACCAGGATTGATATACGTAACGCATTTCTTTACTTGCATAATAGTCCAATTCATGACTTTCCTGAATCTCAAGTCTCCTAATACTTACGTTAAAATCATCATCTACCAAATCAATTCAACCACACAGCCCAACGTTTGTGATATGCTATGCTATAACCATGAGAGCTCTTTCTTTGATATTAACGATAATAATATGATAATGAATCCTCCCTTAAAAAAATCGGGTAGAAGTTTACTATTGTTTTTTAAAACCACAATAATATTATCATCTATTGTTTTCCAAAAATATTGAACTGTTTTGTAACCTTGAGTTTGATTATCATTATCCGATATATGTTAATACATGTAATTAACACGACATGTTATGTCTTGATCTTTGAAGTATTAATATCATTACTTGTCTTTGTCTATAAATAAACGTGATCATTTGGAAATTCGAGATAGAAAATCTGTATTTTGTGTTGCCAAAAAAAAAAACGAGTATTCTGTAGTTCTACATTAATTCTTATATTGTATAACCAAAAAGTTGTGTCGTTGACGGTAAACTGTGACATAAAAATATTGATGATTAATTAAAACTTTATGCACTAGCAAGCAGTTTTTTTGGAAAGAATATCATCTAGAAGATTATTATAATCAATTTAAATATTAGTCAGTGGACTTGTATAATGTTGTTCCGTTAAATTGTCCTGAATCGGCAAATATTCGATTAAATGAACAACCAGCTCAGCCCAACATATTCGGTAACGTGTGAATATTGCTGAAACCAATTTCAGTTTATTGAAGATATAAGGTAGTTATGGGCGTTATGGCATGGATTTTTAAAAAAAGAAATTTTTTACATATATAATTATAAAATTATAGCATTCAATAATTATATAGATTATTTTTGGAATTACTTTCATTTATATGACAAATCTTTTATGTCGGTAGATAATTTTGTTTCAATACGCAGATCCGGTAATAAACTACATTTTAGGTAGGCAATAAGAGAATAAATAAGGTTGAGGGTGCGAAAAAGGGACTACTCTAAAGCGAGCCAAACCTTGAGCTTGGAGAAAGCACGAAACCAAGAAGTTTGTACATTTATATGCAAGATTACATGAAAAATTCTGCGGCTAAAAGAAAAATAAAGTTTATGTACTAGTACTATATCTATATATCACCTAAATTTTATTTTAGTCGGTTTTTTTGATGTACAGTAAATCGTAATTTTTTGAATGAACTCAAATAGATACACCGGGCTGCCGAAAGTAATAGTCAGGAGGTCAAATATATTAATAAAGCCCAGTAAAAATTTGAAATTTTCTCGTACCACAGTGCCGCAATTAGAATTTATAATTTTACTAAACTAATATTTTTTATTTTTATATCAAAATAAAGTTCATAATTTATAATTTAACATGTTTTTTTATTTTTTCTGAAAGAGAAGAGCTATTAATCACAAAAATTTTTTCTGATTAGAAATAAAATTTAATAAGAAAAATTTTTGTACCAAGCCAAGTTCTTTCAGAAAAAATTTATTAGTAAAATTATAAATTTTAATAGAGAGAATTTCGATTTTTATTAATAGACTTGACCCATTTCGGCGGCTGCTGTAATAAAATAATGCAAATTTTAAATAAAACTGTCCTTATTTTTTAAGTGAGCATATAAATAAGTTTTTTTTTGTAGACTTTTATTGTTTTTATTCTTACCATAATTACCTTAATTGTTCCTATAACAATCTCAGCCTTATTAATGCTCCGGTTACCGAGATTTACCTGATAATTTTTTTAATTAAATTCTTGGTAGATGCACCGCTGCTGAATACAAGAAATGAAACATAATACGCGATATCAAAGGCCTAAGATTTGAATAATAAAAAAGATTTAAATACTTGTAGAACTGACAAATTGACGGTGTTAAGTGATATAGTCATGTTAATAATAAAATGATCAGACCGTTAAAGAAAGTCTATTCATTTATTTACGAATAAACACATTCTCAATAATAAGCAATTCGAAAGAGCAATTATTTTTTATTTGTAGATGAATCAAAGCTTTGTATTACCGTTACATAAAATGTGAGTGGAATTTAGTTTATTTTATGTTTAAAGTTTATTTTGTCTTGGATAAATTGCAAAACAAGTATTTGTGAGCGCTCAAATAAACATATAAAGATACCCAAAAACGAAGGATTAAAGGAGCACGCGATACATTGAACAAACGAAAGCTTTTGGTCGAACGAATTATTAAATCAAGCAACGAGATTAGCTTGAAGAGACTCTCGTCATCTAAAGTTCAACAACAATTAGATGAATTAAAGGCAGATATATTCAATACTATTTTGAGATGAAAGATACCTATATTTGTACCCATATCTCTCATTCAATATTTCAACCAGTTTCCATGATATTAGCCAAATTGTTGTTTGACCCCATGATATGTCTGGCAGGTAATTTTGTATGCAAGACGCCGGCTTCGTCAATGGTCTTAGTGGTTTTCGGCGCCGTCAAATTTTCCTTGCCTCATAAGTTGAGCACGAAATTGAAAATCTTAGGGATAGGAAACATTCGACAACTTGTGAGGATAAGTTCATATCTGAAGTAGACTCGACTCAAAGTCGACCGACCAAGTCGATCATATTAAGTTTTTATGCACAATTACATGAATCGGTATTATGTTCATCACATGTATTAGCATACCGATACGAATGATCGTAATTGTTATATCGTTATTATTTAAAAAACTAAATGTGTTATAAGTTAAAAAAATTAATGAAATTTTTTTTGACGATTATGAAGATGATAATAATGTTTTAGAAGAATATATAACTGAAATGGAAGAGATAAAATCATCTAAAACAAATATTAATGAAAACGAACAATTTGAAATCGATGAAACTAGCGCTGAAAATTCAGATAGAAATACATGTATATCGGAAGTTTGGCAATATGTTAATAAAGATGATTCCAACCGTCATTATTGTCTGACATGCAATTTTATATTTTCACCAAAAAAACCAGTAGATCAAGCGTATGAGAACATTTATATAAGCATAATTTACTAAATAAAAAAAAATCAAACCAAAACACATCCTGAGAAAGAACAACTAGCACGAGCAATTCTTTCAAAGCATGCAACCTTTTCAGTAGTGGATAATATTTCCTTTCGTAATTTATTAAATAAGCTTGATCCACTATTTATAATCCCAAAATGCCAAACTATACACAATAAAAATTTTAGAACATTTACCAGACAGCAAATTAAACTTAATACTATTATTAGTAATATTCCAGATAAAGCTTCAATTACAACAGACATGTGGGCTAGCATCAAAATGGAAAGTTTTATAACAATTCCAATTCATTTTGTTGATAAAGATTGGTATTTACGTCATTTTACTCTAGAAGTTACCAAATTTCAAGGATCTCACACAGGTACAGCAATTTGTAATTATATAATGAAAACTCTAGAAGAATTTGATTTGACTCAGAAAATTGCTGCAATTACTACAGATAATGGCTCAAACATAATTTCAGCATGTCATCAAATAACACAAAGACTCAATCCAAATAATATTTCAGCTGAATTTCTAACTATCATTGTATATGTCATATATTGAATCTTGCAGTTGAAGTTGGATTAAAAAAAGTGGATGTATTGATTAAAAAAATATGACAATTTGTAAAAGTAATTCGCAAGTCTTATATATATAGTGATCATTATAAGTAACGAGAATCGTTATTATGACCATAAATTTCACAAATTTTATTCGTTTGACTTATAGTTTTACAGAAACGTAGGTCAAACATAGGCGTTCAAAAAATGTATATACATTAATAGTTTATTTTTTTTCCATCATTTTCAATTACCTCATTTACATGACCTGACATTCCCTTTACCAGGTTAAGACACAAGTCCACGGTAATATCCTCCCATTCCTTCCTAATTAATCCATGCCAACGACTAATGCTAATCAATTTTTCTTTTCAAACTATTTCATTGACTCGTTTCTCCACCCTTTTCTTGATAATTGCCCAGAGATTTTCTATTGGATTAAGATCAGGACTATAGGATGGCCATTCAAGGAGCTTTGGAACCTGATGATGAATGAATGCTTTCATTTCCGTGGCTCAATGCTTTGGGTCATTATCTTGTTGAAAGACCCAACGTTCTCCCATAATTCTATGTGCATTTTCAAAAAGATTATTAGTTAAAATTTCGTGATAAAATGCTGCATTCATATTTTGGGTAAATATATGAAAGCCAATTGTTCTACGTGCAGAAAATGCACCCCAAACCTAAACTTTCTCTGGATGTTTTGGAACCCCCTTCTGTGGAATACTTGTTCCATCTTTGTAAAACGCATTTATAGTATTTCGGAACATTTGAAATGTGGTTTCATCTGAGAATACTACAATTTTCCAGTTTTTTTTGCAATGTTTTTTCGCCCATTCCACTCGAGCTAGACGATGTTTTTCTGAAAGCAGAGGCATGATTTTTGGAAGTTTTGAATGATATCCAAGCTTATTAAGCTCACGGTTTACTATTCACGTAGATATTTCAACCTTGGATTGAAGTTTTGTGGCAATTTCACCACAGGTAAGATACTTATCATTTGTAATGATTCTTCCTAATGCACGTCGATCTTGAGAAGTTAAAATTGTGGGACATCCCAGGTGAGAAATAGGTTGAGTTTATTATTTTTTTTTAGTTGAGTGACATATTTGTATGCTGTAGAGAGGGGAATACCACTTTTTTTTGCTAAAGTTGGAGCATCACAGACACCACATTTCCAAAGGTGACTTACAGTCTCTCGTTGGTTAATAATTGGGGTTTCTTTCATTTGTAATGAAAAAAAGAGGGAAAACTAAGGATTGTTTTTTTTTAGGTTTGTTTTTATGTCACATTGATAAATAAACCGTCATTAAAACGTGGCTGTACATGCTGTACACAGTCAAGTTTTTTCTATGTATGGTTTGTGCCACTTTCGATTCTCATTACTTATGACGATCACTGTATCTAGAAGATTTAGAGAAAGATATCATTTTTTGGATGAAAAGACATTTCTTCAACTAATTCTTGATATAAAAGCATGTCGGAATTCAACTTTTTATATGTTAAAATGTGCTCAGACTCTTAAGACTTATCTTGATCTGTTAATTATGCGACATCCTTTATTAAATGATTTATATCCAACATCAGATGAATGGAATCAAATTGGCATTATTAGAGCAATTTGATATAGCTATAAAGGAATATCTGCTCAAAATTAGCCTACTATAGCTTATGCATATATTGTTTTATATGGTATATGCTCTAATTTAAGAAATTATAATGGTGAAAATTTATTAAAAGAAATAGCCATAACAGATATTGACGATATATTGATGAGCATCACATGTGGCTGCGTTTTCGGATTCACATTATAAAAAATATTGTTTTCCAGAAAAATCTTTTAAAGAAATTTTGATCTAAGTTCAACTCAAAAAAGATCAATCTTTATAATGTAATTAACACAATATCCGATAAATTCTTCCACACAACAAAATGATGAAATACAACATTATTGGAATTTATCTTCATATGATGATGATGTGGAACCATTAATATGATGAAAAATGCATCAAAACGAATTTCCATTATTGTCTAAGTTAGCGCGAAATCATTTGTCAATTCAGTTCCTTGTGAACAATTATTTTCAATTGCTGGTTAGTAAAGCAAGAAATAGATTAACGAGTGAAAGTGCTCGTGCATGTTTATGTTTAAAAATTGGATGAATAAAAATATTTTATAGATTATAGAAATTATTTTCTTTATCTTGTTCTATGATTTTTTATTTAGTTATGATAAAACGATAACTTTGATTTATTACGCATTCATGTAGATCAAACTCACGCATTCATGTAGATCGACTTTTAGTCGACTATGACTCATATTCGGTAAAAGTCGAGTTGAGTTTAGTCGAGCCGAGTCATTAGCATCCCTACATACAGCTACTGTATAACTGTAGAATTACGTCAAGTCTTAAAAGCAATAAAAATGGAAATTTATACTGATTACTCTTATGATCTCATACCCACCAACTCGTAATAGGTTGCCATTAAAATAAACGATGAATTTGGCAAAGTGTCAATGAAAGATAAGTTGTTAACTCGTTTTCATTTCAATTTTTGTTGAATCAGTTCCAAAACTCTAAAGAATCTTATTTAGCTATCACAAACACTAGCGCTAGTGACTAACTGACGATCATAAAAGATTTCAAATTTAGTTAAATAGTGAGATAAGTCTAATAATTCATTATCTTATTCTTTATTTTCCGAGCTACTTCACGATACAGATTCATATTGATATTTTCAATAATAGTCAAAATGTGCCAATGATCTTATAATTAATCCTAATAATCCATGTAAAGGCAATGAAACATTAAATAAAATTAAAGTTCGCTTTATAAAGGCTCGAGAAACTTAATAATTTCTTTGACTATTTCTCAATGACAGATTCTAAATAATCTTTTAGTTTACCATTAATATTATTTAAATTTCAATAAGTCGTTTGAACATTATGTAGGTAGGATTCTATCTTGTTTAGATATCAAGCTCTAGATGAGGTTAATATTTGATAAGACGATATTTAGCTTGATTGATTGCAGAATCTTATACAGTCTTCCTTCCATATAATCAGCCTTTGGGAACAGCAAAAAATGTGGCTTTAAAGAGGTTATGACTTATAGAAGTCAAGCTTCCTATGCTTTGTAATATCGGGAACTGGGAAAAGATGTGATCGTAGAGAGGGTGGGTGTGAATACCGTATTTTTCCAAAAATAAACTACTCCCGAAAGAAGCTACCTCCCATTTTTCAGTCAAAATCAAGTATATTGTAAACTTAATAAACATAACCCCAAAAATAAGCTATCCCTTCTATTTGACCTGCAAAAAATAATAGCTTCGGGAAAATATACATGTATTAAGATTAAAATCTATTACGTACATATTAATATACATGCATGTTATAGACAACATTACCATTATTGATATAAATCATTAACGTATCAAAATAGTTCAATTAAAAAAGTAAAAGATAAAATTAACATTTAAATTATAAAGATGTGTGTGTGTGTGTGCTTATATACTATCTCGAATATCAGCCTTTTTTACATTTGTTCATGTAATATATAAGTTGGTTCATTAATAAAAATGTTCTAACGGCTCCAGTCCTTGAACTGAACAAAATCAAAATGAACCAATCAAATTCATCATTGCATATATTCCCCCATTTAGTATAACCAATCATTAATGCAATATTACACATTACATATAATTGGCTGGCTATATTAGTTATATAACAACTGGAATAAATAACATCCAGTCATTTGTCATATAAGACATACGACAATTTCATATGACTATATTATCAGTAAATGCCTGATGACAATGTCATTGTCCCAACAATAATACAAAAAATTATTGTATATGTAATATGTAAGTCTTCATTGTTCTTATAAAGAGAAAAATCAAGAATAACAAACTGATAATTTTAGGAATATAATCAAAACAAATTAAGATAAGAGATAAATACTGTAATAACATTTTGAAATTGATCCTAAAATATTATAGTGAATATGCATGTAATAATAAACATTTAACATATCTCATACAATGGAAAATTGAATATTTTTAAATATAAAACTAATAAGCAGAATAAATTTCTTCAAAATTAAAAGATTCAACCATTTCAGGCGCTCGATCATGTCTATTTATTGCAGCCTTCTGATACCACTTCAATGCTAATTCGAGATTTTTCGAAACACCTATTCCATATTGATAGAATTTTCCGAGATTAAATTGAGCTTTATTGTATCCTATCTCTGCGGCTCTTAAGTACCAATAAAATGCTTCTTTATCATCTTTATCTGTTCCTTCTCCATATTCATAGCATTGCCCAAGTCGAAAATAGAAATGAGAACTACCATTTTTAGATGAGGTTAAAAGGTGTTTGAATAAAGATTTTTCCAAATCAATTGAAATTAAATTTCTTTGATAGCTATATCTTAATAAAAATTGACTTCTTGCATGATCGGAATCAGCAGATTTTAAAAGTAACTCTAATACTTTGTTTTCATCTTTTTCTATTCTGATAGAAGGATCATCATAAAATATGGCAAGATTATATTGTGCGTCAAGGTGTCCTGACTCTGCTGCTTTCAAGTACCACTCAAATGCTTTTTGTTCATCTTTGATTGTTCCTTCTCCATTTTTATAACAGAAAGCAAGAACTAATTGCGCATTAAGGTGTCCTGACTCTGCTGCTTTCAAGTATCACTCGAATGCTTTTTGTTCATCTTTGATTGTTTCTTCTCCATTTTTGTAATAGAGAGCAAGGCCAAATTGAGCATTAAGATGTCCCGACTCTACTGCTTTCAAGTACTACTCGAATGCTTTTTGTTCTTCTTTGATTGTTCCTTCTCCATTTTTGTAACAAAGAGCAAGATTATATTATGCGCTAAGGTGTCCTGACTCTGCTGCTTTCAAGTACCACTCAAATACTTTTTGTTCATCTTTGATTGTTCCTTCTCCATTTTTGTAACAGAGAGCAAGGCCAAATTGAGCATCAAGGTGTCCT